GTTGGACGGCATCATTGCCGAGTGCGAGCAGCTTGTGCTGGCTGACTGCTCCGGTGCCGTCACCATCTCCTCCACAGCATGTCTGACGGTTGTGAACGCCGCCCGAACCACCTCCCGGCCACACAGCCCAGACCACCCACTGCTGCTGCGCTCTATCACCGACGTGTCCACGTGCCGGCTCGAGGGCTGTCACATTGGCAGCTTCTCCTGCTTCGACAGCATCCAGCGCCTCATCCTCAACAACTGCGAATTTGATGATGTGAGCAGCCTTCCACACGTCACCTCGCTCGTGCTTCGCGGCTGCAGGAGCACCGGCAATGCTGGCAACTGGCAATGGCCTAACGTCGTGATGGTGCACCAATCACCCACGGAAATGGCAGCCACGCTGCAGACAAGGCGTACCGCCGATCGCTCGGAGTAACTTGTGTGTGTGTGTGTGTGTGCGTGTGTGTGTGTGTGCGTGTGTGTGTGTGTGTGTGTGTGTGTGTGTGTGTGTGTGTGTGTGTGTGTGTGTGTGTGTGTGTTTGTGGGGAGGGATCGGGAATCGTTTGTGTCTGATGTGTAATCGTATTCCTGTAGACGGTATCTTGCCATTGTCCCTGTGCATGACCTTGTTTAATTGACACAGTGTTGACTGAAGTGTTTGCGTTCACGTGAAGGTGCTAACTATCGTACATGACACACGAATGCAGCAAAGCGTGTGCGCAGAGGAAAGGGGCAGGAGGAAAGGGGCGAAAGAGAGTGAGAAGTACAGACGCACGCACACGCACACACTGCAGTCATGTCCGTAAGCCATTGTCCTGGAAACAGCTCGTGCGACATGGTTGTGGCAGCCAATAATGCAGCATGCCATCGCGTGAGCAGTGTGATGTTCTTGCTACGAGGGGCTTCACGTGGCTTGCGAGATTTCTTCTTCGTGCTCTCATGCATCCAGCTCAATGCATCCGCCCAACCCACGATATATCATGCACGAAACTGGACACAATGCACCCAGAGCTCGCTAAGTCTCCGACAGCAATACGGTAACGACGTTAAGCATTCGGTGGTGGTAGTTGATTTGATTTGCGTCACTCTGACGTTTCACATCCCCAAACAGAGCATCTGACCTGCGCAAACGTTGTCGTATGTATGAAACTGCTATCTGGCAAAAGCTGTGGGGAGTACGATTTACTGGTCGTTGCGGTGCTGTGAAGGAGAAACAGGTCGGTTAATCAACGGAAGAACGAACAGCATACGTTCGTGTGGTAATGCAGGATCAGCAAGGTCAGACAACAAAAGGTCGTTCTCTTCGGGATACCCAAAAGGGTGAACCCGGATGTCAACTTCAACAATTTACCGTCAAGCGGCTCCTGGTGGAGAAAACTCGTGTTGTGTGGGTGTCGTTGGGAGCAAATACTACGTGTACACGCGCCTGGAGTCCGCAACATGCTTTGCTGATGAGCATGTGGATGATGTCATGCATGTAGGAATGGCATGGGCAGATGTAGGTGAGATGTGAGTAAGGACGTGTGTTGTGGAACACGTTTAAGAAAATGGTTGGTGCCTGTGGTGCGCAGCCTGTTGTGGAAGGCTGGCCCGAGTGAAGGCGTGTCCTGTGGTGCGCGGCCGCTCAGAGGTCCTGACGCGGAGTCGAAGGACGTGGCGACCGGCCCGAATGAGGACGGGCCCGTGGCTGGCAGCCTGGCAGAGGACGCTGGTCGAACAGCATCGTGCAGAACTGAGCCGTCTTGGGCCGAGGGAGGATCTTCGTGAGGAGATCTGCGATCATGTGCTCCGTGGCGAGGTAGCTCAGCACAATCCTCTTGGTGTCGACGCACTCGCGGATGTAGTGGTACTTGACGAGGATGTGCCGCATGCGCGAGGCGGCGTGTTCGGCAACGCGCTGCGCCGGCTGGTTGTCCGTGTGCACGAGCGTGGGCTCGCACAGGACGGCGCCGGTGAGTTCCTCCTGGAGTTGGCGAAGGAACATGAGTTCCTGTGCGGTGGCTGCGAGAGCCATGTACTCCGCGTCGGCGGAGGCTGTGGCCACGGTGGCCTGCAGCTTGGAGTTCCAGGACACGGGGCCCGTGGAACAGAAGACGACGAAGCCCGTGCGGGAACGTCGCGTGTCAACGTCGGAGGCGAACGACGCATCCGAGTACGCTGAGAGCACGCCGTCGGCAGTGCTGCCGTTGCTGGTGTCGCCAGTGGCGGCGTACTTGATGGTGTAGGACAAGGTGCCCTTGATGTAGCGAAGAAGGTGCTTGGCAGCCTTCCAGTGGTCCATGCCGAAGTGCTGCATACGGCGAGACAGGATGGAGACAGCCGCCGAGATGTCTGGACGCGTCATCGTCGCAGCATAGAGGAGGGAGCCAAGCAGCTCGCGGAACGGCACGTCTGGGAGTGACTCCTCCCTGTCGGCTGGCTTGTCAACGTAGCCCGTGCAGAGCGGCGTGCCGACAGGCTTGCAGTCAGCCATGCCGAAGCTCTCCAGCACGTTGCGCAGGTAGTGCTCCTGGCTCATGGTGACGGTCCTGGCCTTGCGGTCGTGCTGCACCTTGATGCCGAGACATATGTCTGGGCTGCCCAGGTCCTTCATCTTGAAGCGCTTAGAGATGGCCTTCTTGAACGCGGCCATGTCGCTGTCGCTGTCGGCGAAGATGAGCAGGTCGTCCACGTAGACGGCAACCCACATCACCTTGCCACCATTGCAGGTGCGGCGGTAGATGCAGGCGTCCGTGGCTGTGGGGACGAAGTCCTGCTCGCGCATCCAGGCGTCCAGCGTGTGGTTCCACAGGCGCGGGCTCTGCTTCAGCCCATACAGCCCGCGCTTGAGGCGCAGGACCGTATTCGGCGAGAAGATGCCGTCGACGGCCGGTGGCTGGACGTAGATCTCGTGATCCACGGGCGCGTTGAGGAACGCCGTGTTGACGTCCATCTGCTGGATGTCCATGCCACGCGCGACGGCCATGGCGAGCATGGTGCGGATGGCTGCGATGGTAGCCGTCGAAGCAAAAGTGGCCCGTGAGTTGACACCGTGGACCTGG